TTAGAGGGGAAAGTTAGTGCACTACACTACATTTTTAACTAGTTAGTGAAGAGCTAGAGTTTATTTTCAGTGAAATTAGGAATAGGGCATGGATGGATTGTTTAAATCAATGCGCTGCTTCTTTTCTCCCAGAATGCATAGAGGCTACCGGTAACTAGGCAACCTATGTAAACAGTCGGGGGAACGCTGATGGCTCTTGACCAGATAGTACACACTCCAGAAGCTTCAGTTTCTAAGGCCCTAGGTCTGGAGTTTCGCTCTAGGCGTTAGAAACAAAAAGGGGACCCAAGACTCTCTTTTCAGCTCTTCTGATCGTGAGTAACATGAGTTTGTGACCCAGGTCTCTTCTGCTGTCCTTGAATGTAAAACACAAGCAGTAAATTTCCTGACATAAAATCAGTAAACTGAGGGAAAAGTGAGCTTAAGAAGCTAAGAATCTTTTAAGTGATGTAAAACCAGAGCAGCATCTTGGGCGAGTAGTAATTCTATGCCCTTGGATATCTGTGAATATTTTAAATGGGATGCTCTGACCAAATGCCTGCTGATAAAAATAATAGCAGGAAGGCAGATCTCTGTGCTTATGTAGGATAGAGGAACAAGACCTGGCACTAGGACACTGTTCTGAAATCTGGAATTAATCCTCAAATATGTAACAGAAAGGGAATTAGTTACAGCAGTGGTCTATAAAACAAGTCGGCCACTTCATTCACAAAGCAGTTATGCCAAAAACCTTGCACTTTGGTTTAGAAGCCTTTACCAAATCCCTTGACTTTGATAAGTCACTATTGAAAAGATGGCTGAATAATTACTCTATAATGTTGCAGTTAGTAGCATATAATCCCGTCTAATTACCACATTAGATTTGATTGGGAAAAAGATTCATTTTTCCAGACAATCTCAGGGCTCAGGTTGTTTCCTCACAAATGCATGTGTCCTCACTTATGCTTTTGTATTTTTACTCAACTTCTTTATCATCATGCTCCTCTTTTTCCATGGCTACGGATTGAAAGATGACCCTGATGCAGAATAGGACAGAAGTGACACACTTTCTCCTGCTGGGACTCACGGATGAACCAGAGCTACAGATTCCCCTTTTCATCACCTTCTTCCTCATCTACACTATCACTCTGGTGGGCAACCTGGGGATAATCCTCCTGATTGTCCTGGACTCTCGACTCCACACTCCTATGTACTTTTTCTTGGGCAATCTCTCCTTTGTTGATTTTTGTTACTCTTCAGCTGTCACGCCCACAGTCATGACTGGGCTCCTTGTAGGAGACAAAGTCATTTCCTATAATGACTGTGCTGCGCAGATGTTCTTTTTTGTAGCCTTTGCTACTGTTGAGAATTACCTACTGGCCTCAATGGCCTATGATCGCTATGCAGCAGTGTGTAAGCCACTATACTATGCTACCACTATGACTACAAGTGTGTATGTTTGTCTTTCTATAGGTTCATATTTCTGTGGTTTTCTGAATGCCTCCATCCACATTGGGGACACTTTCAGTCTTTATTTCTGTGGGGCCTATGTGGTTCATCACTTTTTTTGTGATATCCCGGCAGTCATGGTTCTCTCTTGCTCTGACAGACACGTGAGTGAGCTGGTGCTTGTTTATGTTGTCAGCTTCAATATCTTTTTTGCTCTCTTGGTTATCTGGATATCCTACATCTTCATTTTCATCACTATCCTGAAGATGCAGTCAAGTGCTGGATATCGAAAGGCTCTATCCACCTGTGCCTCACACTTCACTGCTGTGTCTATTTTCTACGGGACTATCATATTCATGTACCTGCAGCCCAGCTCCAGTCACTCCATGGACACTGACAAAATCGCATCTGTGTTTTACACCATGATCATTCCTATGTTGAACCCTCTGGTCTATAGCTTGAGGAACAAGGAAGTCAAGAGTGCCTTTACAAAAATTTTGCTGATAGCAAAATAGTTTAAAGTTCTAAGATAAATAATGCTTCTCATTTTGTCCACATGCAATTAAATTCCTGAATAGATTCTTGTATTTCTGCAACTCCGTTGTATAGGAAAATAAAGACATTGTATTCATGATCATAGGTATGGGAAGGTATTTATGTAGTTTTAATAGATAATTGTTTATGTGTAATCTCATTGTTAACAAAATGTTGATAATATTTTAAAAACCAACTGTAACCATGAATCTATATATTTGGACAGTTCTGAAGAAGCTTCATATACAGTTTGCTATGATGACACATTTTTTTAACATTTTATGGCATTTCAGTGACAATTTTGAATATTGCTTTAATTATTCAGTGATGACTTGTAGAGTATGTTTTTTTTTCTAACAAGAGTTGCATGTTACCTGTGCAGTATAAATTCCTAGCACATATCATAGAATAGTGCTGTGATTTTACATGCATGGTTTGTTTAAATTAGTGATCAATCACACTGTTTCAACCTGATTCTCAAACATTGAAATTAGTTACCTTTAAATAAATTCTTACTGTGTGTACAGAGTGTTTTAGAAAGTAAGAGATAGCACAAAATAAGACAAATGGAACTAAGATAAAATAAACCATAAGATGGAAGAGAGTCTAAGAAATGGAATAGAAAACAGATATACAGTCAGAGAAACAATGATTCACACAGTTAGGAGTCCCACAAAAGACAAAATTTGAATCCATAATGTATATGAAAATGATTGAAAAGTTAAATAAATAATATAAATACATTTAAAAATTTGAAAATTAAATAAAAATAAAAAGAGAGACAGGACTGACAGGACAGTAGAAGATAAGGAACCTGCAGAGATGCCTTTAGTTGGTTTTATGTTGGCCATCTACTGCTGAGCATGTGACTTTCACAATATAATAATTTCTTTCCACAACATTATTCACTTGAGGAAAACATAAATTTTCATTTGAAAGTGGTTATCCATCGGAGCTAAATACTGTGTTATGGATGGTGGCGTGTGCCTACTTCTTTTAGTTCTAGAACTCCATATGGTTCACACATATGTAGGCCTATATATGCTGCCTCAGTCTCTATGAATTCATGTATAGATAGATTTTTATGTCCCTCCCTTATGAAAGCACAGACCATAGCTTAGGCTTGTTTATAACTAGTTCTTAAAACTTAAACTCATTTTGTTAGTTTACTTTTTTCTGTGGCTTTAGTATATGTATGTGTTATGTATGTGTGTGTTCTATATCCATTAATGTATAAAATATACACTATATATATATATAAATCTGGAGAAAATTTACTATATACCTTATGTCCACATGTTTACTAATAAAGCAGGGACTTCCTCAATTGCTATTTTGTGTTTTGATTTTTGCCACTAAGACTGAAGATAGGGTTGTGCAAACACTAGACAGATGTTCTATCATAATCTCATCATGAGCCCAAGAATTAATTTAATTATCAGTATAATGACTTTTAAAATAAAAATTTATTCATAACTTTATGGGTGAAGCAAATATAAAATCTTGTAGGATTGCAAGATACACATGGTGAATTTCACATTAGATATGAATCACAAATTCTATCTAAATATCATTCTCTAGCACAATATATATTTGGCTTACTGTTTTACTTGAAATGAGTTTTTATGTAACAGTGGCATTGATAGCATAAATTAACATGAAATTCATTGATCATTTTATCAACTAAACTAGAAATTGAAGATTATTAGAAAAGCAGTTGAAATCAGAATCAGTCTGGGATTATTTATGTACTAGTATTGGAATCACAGACAAACCTACCAAATCAATATAATACGGCAGTGATAGTCAAAGAAGAGAGAAGGAAGTGTGCAAATGTTTTATATTATTTTTGCAAATTTAATGTTTTCCAATATGAGTATATTAATGTACTCATTTTGTAGTACATTGAAAAATGTGGGATATTAAAAATATGTCTCTTTTACTATAAAACTGGGCATAAAGAAAAATTTTTACTATACTTCTATATTTATACTAATATTAAAATAAAACTCACATGATAATTAATCATAGTTTTATTGATCCCGAATTGACATGACTTATTTTCTAGAATTTCCACAATTAATTTATTAGTGTAGGAAGTATTTGAGTATCTATGTGAAAGACAATGTATGGAGTACTGAAGATAGAACTCTGAACAAATCATAGCTTGCTTCTGTCACAGTTTAAGAAAAGTTATGAATTCATGAACAAAAATTACAATGATTATGTATTGATTGGTGTTATGAAAGGTACATCAGGCAACGTATGCACTTGCATTTCGAATATCATGTAGAAGTTTATTGATGCCTCAAAGATCTGCTACTGAAAAGATATTATTTAATTAGCAAACTAAAGATGATGAGGGATTTAGTTTGTGCAAAGATAACTGTAGATGGTAAGATTCTAAGACAGAGGCATGCTAGAGTTGTCTATCAGTACAAAGAATTTAATGTGAATGAGATGGGTAGGATGCATATCAATGTTAACAGATTGTCTACATAAACTGCCATTAAAGTAATGGTACTAGTCTTTTCAAATTTCCAGATAATAAAGCTATTGTTATTTTGAATGGAGTTCTATTGTTTTTGTTTTAGTAAATGTGAAAATAGAATAATTACAAGCTTAAGGATAAAATAACTCAGATTTCACCCTTTTCAAATACTTCAAAATTTTATCATGTATTTTATTACCAAATAACTCAATAGTACATTAAATATTTCCTATTTGTCTATTATAATTTTGACATCTATTGCACGTTCTATGAATAAGTGTGGATTTCATAAAATATAATTTATATATAAACCATGATGTATTTTTAGTCTTATGCCTTTATTATTTTATAAGCTTTATTATAAAACACTTGCCAATACATGTAAACATCATACATCAAATTCAACCAGACTCAAAGTCTATGTGCTTATATATTTATCAATTATAAGATATAATGAGATTATTAGGTATACTTCTATCTTTTAAGTTTTTCACATGATCATTAATATTTAAGTAATCAAAGACTATTAATGATTAATCAATGTGCATCAGTAAGGTACTAAACCTAAACATAGCTTTGACCTTTGAACAACTCTCTTAACTGCATTTTTAACTTCTTTGTTCCTCAGGCTGTAGACCACAGGATTCAGCATGGGAATAACCATAGTATAAAACACAGAGACAAATTTATCTGTGTCCATGGAATGGCTGGAACTTGGCTTTAAGTACATTATGGTGACAGTCCCATAAAATGTGAAAACTGCAATGAGGTGAGAAGCACATGTAGAAAAAGCCTTCTGGTATCCATCACCTGACTGCATCTTCAAAATATTCACAAATATGAGTAGGTAGGAAATCAAGATAACAAGAAAAGCAAACATGATGTGAAAGCTAGACATAAGAATAAGAATCATCTCATTCATGCGTTTATCAGAGCAACCTAGAACCCTCACTGCTGGAATATCACAGAAAAAGTGATTAATCACATTGTATACACAAAAATGGAGGGAGAATGTGTCTCCGGTTTGTATAGAAGCATTCAAAATGCCAAAGGTATAGGAGCCAACAGCTAGGCAAGTACATACACGCTTTGTCATAGTGGTAGTATAATGTAAGGGTTTACACACTGCAGCATAACGATCATAGGCCATTGAAGCTAAAATGTAGCTATCAACTGTGGCAAAGAACACAAAGAAGAACATCTGAACAGCACAGGCATTGTAGGAAATTGCATTGTTTCCTGTAAGGAGTCCAGTGATGACCTTTGGCGTGACTGTTGAGGAAGAACCAAAGTCTACCAAGGACAGATTACTGAGGAAGAAGTACATGGGGGTATGGAGATGATCATCTAGCAAAATGAGAAGGATCATTGCAAGGTTCCCAACCAAAGTGGTGATATAGATGAATGTGAACATCATAAAGAGAAAAATGTGAAACCCCGGAGCTTTGGTTAATCCCAGGAGGATGAATTCACTCACTTCTGTGTTGTTGTTCATGGCTGTTTTTCTGGATCCACAGAATGTTCGTTGAAATGGACAAAAATAAAAACAAAGGCTCAAATGCCTGGAAAATTATATGCAGAGATACACTTAGTATCTTCAATCCTGTGAAGCTGGTTAGATATAATTTCCATATCTATATGAACCTACACTATCAAGAATTTTGTGAAATCATAGAAGTTCTCATTCACAGAGAGTACAGAATGCCAAACAAGTTAAGCAGTTAACTTTTAGGATGTTCTATTTATGAATTTAGATGCCTTTAAGTTCAGGCAGTTCATATTCAGTTATTACATTTGATATACACAGATAAATGCTTAAACTAAATTATAGCATAATTTAAAAATATCTGAATAGTACATTTATTAAAATAATCATGTCATCACAGTTCAGTTCAACCAACAAAGATGATTCTTTAAAGAAGATATACTATCAAATATAAAATGTGTATGATAGGGAAAAGTTTTAAATATTCAATTATTACCTTTTTATTTACTTCTAGAGATAGTGGTTTGCATCCAACTTCTCGATCCATAAGTAATTTATAGATTGCATTGGGTCTATCTAGGTGATTCTTGGAAGGTTTAAATAAGATAACGAATGAGAATGGGTTGATAAGTAATAATTGTACAATTACTATTAGAATGGAAGATGATGTTTTTCCTGGGTAGGATAGGTAAGAGCCTAAGGCTTCAAGATCTAGGTGAATTTTAAAAACAGGCAGCATTACATCAAGATTTTCCATTACCCACATGCTATGTCCTCTCATCTCTCCTCTTTTTCTAGTATTTTGGTAATATTCCTTCATCTCCAATATAGGTGAGCATGTTAGTCATTCTTGTGAGCAATGAAAAACCAAGTTATCTTGAACTAATTCATTATTTGAATTTATATTTTAGCTGTGTTCAAAGATTACCTTTGAACACTGTCCTTCATTCTTCTTCTCTTGTCCCAGCTGCACTATATTCCACATGTCTGATCTTAAATTATTTATTTTTGTCAGTATCTCACCCACAGAATAGCTTAAAGTAAGAATGTTTTCTGATTAAATATGTGCTGTGATATATGATGTATGCTGTTTCCTTGGTCCCATATAGACTATCCAGAACACTCTCAATTACATAGTAAAGTTAAGGCAAAAAGACACAAGTACCTGGGCTTAGAGTGTGAACTTTTAGAGAGCCATTTGTCAAGTTATTAAAACAATAAGACAAGTATGAAAAAATATATTAGAAAATTGTGTGTATATTTAGATGATTGAAACAGAGAAATCAATTTATAGTGATATTATAGTGTTATATATATATTAATTTTTATATAGTGAAGCTTTATTTTACTTAAAAATTAGATTATAATATAGTTAAAACATTTTTCTTACCCTTTCCTCACTCCAAACTATCTTAGATTATTACCCTCTCTTTTCTTGTTCAAATTCAGGGTT